ACCTACTCGGGCACGAGACTTAAGATACCCAATGACGGAAAAAACACAAATAAAAAGATAGAAACTCTAAAACTAGCATTAATTAAAAATTAGCCTAACTAAAACAAAACTACAAATTTAGCCTTTCAAAATTTCTAGGGAGGTCCTCCCAAATCCCCTGGGTGGCCGAATAGCATTCAGCTCAGGTGCTAATAGACCATAAAATACCTACTTTGTATTGGTCGTCATTTCAATGAAAAGTATTTAAGTATGCTACGCCACTGAATGAATCTTAATAAATCCATATGAATACCGATAAACCAAACCATATAAGGATAAACCAAACCTTAGTGAACAACTCACTCTTTAAAAAAATGTAGGCCTATGTGAAATTTTTATTTTTTGTAAAGTATTTGAATTGGTAAAAATTTAAGGATCCTGAATAAGTACCTTTGACTTAACCAAATAAGTTTTAAAGTATTAATTGTTATAAGCTCAAAAGTTAACAGTTATTATCTCAACATTGTAGGATATAATATGGTTTACCTTTTTCGTTTCCTCTTTACTTATAGCCATATTTCCAAAATTCTCTTATGTCTGAGTTCCAGGGCTTGGTGCTTCCCTTGTCCTGATTATTTTCCTTCCTGGAGCTGGAGAAATTCAAAGGTCGACTACTATTACATAACTTTCTGCTTGTGATGATTTGGTCTAAATTTACCCGAAGGACTGAACTATAGAAAACTATCCGTTAGGATTTTGATTCACTACCCATACCAAACAATCCCTTGTATGTGTGAAAAATACTTGAACATGAATGTAATTTCGTGGTGTTATTAGTGTGTTGTGTAGAAATGTTAATGGAGATTGTTTGAGTCAACAAAAAAGATACCTACCACATGTTGGCAACATTTAAATCAGATGCTCAATTTAGTAACTTTTAAATGTATTTCCATCTAGCCACAGTGGGAAATGTTTTTCTGTGGAAAACAAAAACAGAAAAATTTGAGCAAATAAAAGTTTGTTCAGATGACTGCGTGTATAAAGTTTTGGATATGTTTTTAATTGTCTTATATTTATGTATAAATAAATTACCGAACTATACCATGGACTAATGTATTTTTCTATTAATCGTGAGACTAACCAACACAAGTAGACTTCTTATCCCATTGTAAATTTTGAAGTTCATTTTTCGTGTATAGCTCGTGCCCGGCGACACTGATCGCTAGTGTCGACGAAATTTTGTTTTTATTATTATAGGGTTAATTCATGATTTGTGCTTTGCTGTTTGGTTATAACTAGGGAACGAGTTATTTTTTATGATTAGATCGTGTTGTTTACTTACGTGTTTCAAATTACTGACATAACAAAGAAACAAATTGTAAACTAAACACGACCTCTACCTACATTGCATCGGACAGAACTAACAATAAAATAGGCTTCAGCTGCTCCATAAAGGATGAGATAAGGGAGTATGTTTTATCTATGCTATCACTTTGCAAGACTCTGTCACTGATCTGTTGCGTAATGTTTTTATTAATTTAAGAAAAGAGAGGATTCCTTTACAGTATTACAGCCTTACAGGTACAAGTTATGATGTTTGCTTTCACATACCCATTGTGGTTAGATGAACTGCAAGAAATTCTATTGGGATGGTTCCTGGATCAGTCATAAGTGAGGTTGAAACTCGTACAATGTGTCAAATAGTGAACAATTAATTTCCCTGTTTGTACTTTACATGGAGGGTTAGCTAGACCATTGAGTGGGAGCAGTGTTTGAATCCGTGATATATTTGGCTTATATTGGATATGAAATATGGAATATGCTACGTTATCGTACCTGGTAATTTTTACTCTTTAGGCCGTTGAGATTTGTCACCTAATAAACTCATGCTAGAATGAACACTATTTTAGTGTTGATTGGAACCCTAATCGCTAACCAGGGCCTAAATAATGGTGCAAGATTTGTTGTATAGCTCACTTGGACAACTTACACTATCTCAGTGAAATTGACTGACTCCGGTCAATACTACGAAATTTCATATTATGGAATCCTTTAACTAATTAAGAAGCGATTTCCCGTAAAAGTCACCTTTGTCAATACTACTGTAGGCCTATGAGTAAGGCACAGGGTCGTGCTAAACTAAGGAAAGATTGTACTCTGACCCTGTTTTTCTCCACGCGGTAAGTATGGGGCCCTAACTTATTTTGGATACTGTAAACTTTATATGCAAACAATCTCAATTTGATGTTTTAATGAAGTTAAAGATTTAATAAGATCGCCATCCCTAGATCGGGCTAACAGCTAGTTTTAAAGTGTAAAATAGCCTAAATTAAAGATTTGTTTCAGATCAACACAATTTTTAGTGATAAAGTGGACTGGTCAAAGTTTCACTTACCAAGTAGAGTTGGATCCAAGAATAAGTCATAAGTCATTTATTTGGCCAGATTTAAATAAATGCATCGGCTAAGTCAGAAATATATTTAAAAATACAATTTGTTTTTAAAATGCAATGTCTTATTAGGCTATAAAATATCTTTTAAACTAAATAATATTTAACATTTTACAAACAAAGCACACCATATGCCCATGACTACCCGTTAGCAATAAACTCCCGGACACGGTGTAGTAGCATTTAAACACTAGGTAGTGATTTTCGACGTTATTTTTTTTTTAAATAACAGGGTTTGACTATTTTTTTTAGACAAAGCAATTCAGTTTTATTGGGATTGAGATTTAATAAATTGAAGTCAAATTTACTGTTTAATGTTGTTTGCTTCAAGAAACGATTTTAATTACAATTCCTCGGCATATAAGCCAGACAGGGCTAAATATGTATCATCCGCAATAAGACAGATATTTCCAGCCCCAACACTTGAATTCATTGATATAAATAAAAAAGTACAGGTCCGAGGACAGATCCCTGGGGTACACCACAAGTGACGATGTCTCGAGAGGGGCAAAGGGTCGGGAGTCGAGAGCCGTCAACTCTCAACTCTTCTGACCACAACAAATTGCTCCTTTTTTGAAGGTATGAGGAGAACCACTCCTGTGCCACCCCAACCCCCTCGCTGTAATAGATTCAACTTTATTGATGATCTAATCGTTTGATTTACAGTATCAAAGTCCTTGCTCACTGCTCAGGTCAAAGAAAGGCTCTAAAGCATCCTCTCCTGAGTCTTAAGAGCCCGTGCGTACTACTTTTGTTATAAGGGTTAACATTGCGTTGATGGTTTGTTTCCCTTTTACAAATCCAAATTGATTCTTAACATAGTATTTTTGTTTCTAAATATTGAATTAATCTTGTTATTAGGCCTACTCGTTTTACAAATATTTTTGAAATGGATGAAACTTGAGTGATAGGTCTGTAGTAGTTAGCAAGTGGTTGGTTTGTTTTTTATACAGTGGTTTCACAACGGAGATCTTTAATAGGGCTGGGAACGTTCCTGCTTAAAACGAACTGTTGACTACGTTGGCTAGGGGTTTTACAATAAAATGTCGAATGTCTTTAATTATTTTACCAACGACCGTTCTTTAAGAGTCCTTGGAGCCTGGACGTTATAACTCATAAAACAATTAAAAAACTTTAAAGCAAATTTATAATTTTACGGTACACTAGATATATTATATAATCACTTTGGTATTTGAAAAAAATATATTTTGAGGTGGTGAACAATTCTTCAGCGGCTATTTGAAAATAACAAAATTAACATTGCTCTTACGGCGCGGCGGGCAAATCCAATACGGCCATTGGCATCCATGGACTCCCTTGGAAATACATTCAAACAACAATCAACAGTTCTAATCTCACAGTATACTAGATATTTACAACATAATCCCTTTGAAAAACTATTTTTGGATTATAAATTACCCTTAAGCAGCAGTTTGAAATTGTTCAAGATCACCACTAGAATCCAAGAACTCTTATTCAGTTTAGTTCTAGAATCGAAAAGATTCACTTGTTTACTTACATAACAGCATTGTTTTTTACTAAAAAACACGTGAACGGACCAATGTGGTTCAATGATTGAAGTAAAATTGTAATGCTTCGAACTTCAATTAATCAGCTGTTTACAAATTTAATTGTCACAGATGGTGCAATTAGTGATTGGTACAATGAGTGAATCATTGCATAACTTTCAGTGGCAATGAGAGGTTATAAACAAAAACATTAGGCCTACCTCTCTCAGAAGTGTTGAGTAGTGATTATTAGAAATTAAAAACAGTCGTAGGTAAAGTACCGGTAGTAGGTAGTATGAGGAACTCAAATAGTAATTCGTAGAAGTTTTTTTAATTTTTTACTCTTGTCAACTGTCTTTAGGCGATCAAAGTAAACTAATATTATTGGGTGAAATTTAAGCCGCCTCCGAGGATTTCTTATTTTTCACCTCATTAGATCCCTTGTTTTTGCCATGTCCAAACCACCTATTTATTTTCTGTATTAACGTTTAGCCTAAGTGAAACATAATAATTTTCTTCTTTGAACGAAAATAAAGAAACAATTGGCCAATTGCTTTCTGATATAAAATATAGGTAGAGGTTATTATGCTATTACTGAATATATAAAAAATGGCTAAGATAAAATCAAATCATTATAGACCTTCACTTATCCCGCACCACATGTGAGACTTGGAGGTGCCGGACTGTTGAAAACTCCAGATTAATTAAAGTGGCATTAATGCATGACTAGTAAAAATAAGATGAAAATAAAATTGTTGGTGGCAGGTCATTATTCCTTGTTTTATCATGTTTCCTCTTATCTTAACTAAAAAAAAAATAAAAAAACTTACCTATGAAAATCCACTGCTTCTCCTAATTTTAACAGATTTCTAGCAACAATGTAAAGAAAAATCTACAAAAATTTCGGAAAAATATCTTTCCTTCTTTATTCTTTTATAAACATTGGTGAAATGAAAATAGTAAAACTTCAAAATTAAAAGTTTGAGAAAAAGGAAAGGTTGAAGAAACGACACAATGAGAAATTACTTCCTATATTTCAATGTAAACTTACATCTTACATCAAACAATAATACGATAATAGTAACATAATATGCCAAATGATGCTGATGAAATGCATGATGCAAATGCAATTAAATAAGTAAATATTTAAAATCGAAGATATATAAATTAAATAACAATAGTTTTGTTATGAAACATTATAAATTTTGAATCAGATATGATTATGCTTATGCAGGTTACATTATGTGGCTTTAACAAAACACAGTTAATTCTATTGTTTGCTTTGTATAAGTATTAGGGAAAAGACAGTAATCTCTGAGGATATGACCATCTGTTTACAAACCGCTGTAACTTAAGGCACAGTTTCCATTACAAAATTCATATAATTATTACAACATAGTTTTTCATTTTAAAGAACAATTAATTTTGTTTCCAATTTATCAGCATTGTTACTTGAACCTTAACATAGTGAACAAAAGAACAACTAGGAGTGTTTACATACACTCAATTATCATAAAAAAACACTATTACTATCAAAATAATTATTAGTTCATGATCAGTTATCAAATAAAAATGATTCCTACAAGTCTCCATATTACTCAACTGTCATAGCAAACTTCACTGATAATATCAGAGTGAATCAGCACAATGATTCAAACAGGTTTCCATGATATTGGCATCATAACTTTTATCAAATGCTTGTCACTACAAACTTTGCCACAATTAAAGCGAATCACTTAGTCACCATTTCCATATCCATTAATACTTATGAGAAAACACAGCGTATTTCATATCACAATTACAGGCCCATTGAATTGAATTCGACATACATCTTATGCCATTTTGCTTTATCGTCTAAATTCTCAATTATCTGTTCAAATTTTCTTTTAAACAGGATACTGAAACAAAGAAAAAATAATTGAAATATTTTTGTCCAAAATACAAATAAAAGACAATTAAAAGGTTAAAATAAACAATTTTAATTAAAATAATTTACAACAACAGTATTAGAAATACTTTGTTGATAACTTCTTGGAAGTGAATAGTTTTATAATATGTACATGAATAATAAAAAAAAGCAATGCATGCATAAGCCCCTAGTGCAAGTGCAAATTTCTATGTACAAAACTTATTCCTATGTTCTCATTCATCCAATACACAAATGTTGTGCTTTTAGCTAGCTAAGATAATACAGCATACTTCTCAGTTTAATATTATGTAATTTTAGTACACTATTTTCAAACTTAGTAATAAAGTTTAAAGTCTTCAGTCATTAGTCATAGGGTTTATTGACATAAAGTGTGTAATGAATGTTTGCTAGTGACTCAAGTAAAATAATGTGGGAGCATCAAATTCTTTTAGGTCATTTAGTTTTTAATAACATTAACCAACTAAGGCTAATAAAGAAACTTATTTTAAAACCAAATAAAAAATTATTCAGTGCACTTTAGTGTTATGGAATACACTTTGAATGGATTTGAAAATTGATAGAATTGTGTTCTTATAAATCGAGAGTCAAGTAACAGAGATTACACACCTAACTCATCAAAATACCAAAGACTGTTTATAAATAGGGCTGAGCCACTTCATCTCATACAGTTGTAACTGGTTGCAACTCTTTCTGAATTGCTAATTTAGCATTAATAAAGTAAAAATTAAAATGTATCTTTTTTAATTTGAGCAATGTTCCAGGAGATGGTTTGACATACAAAACAGCCATTTAAAATTAACAACTAGTAGAGTAGTATTTCCATGCAAATAAATACATACAACTATAATAAATTTTTGGCTCAAATGCGAACCAATTTAAATTCTAAGACTCAAACAACGGAAGATTTTATATAAATAAAATAAATGGTGCAGTCCTTACTCTCTGCTCTGCAAGGTCCAGCCTATTTTACCCTTCAGAATAAACACACAGTTTGACAAAAAACACAAACTATCCCTCAGATAGAAAAAAAGCATTCAATAAGAGTTTTGAAGAAAACTCAACAAAGGAGGTGTAAACTCAAAGACAGCGTGGGATAGCAGACATCTTATAATAATTCAATTCAAACAATACAAGCATAAGCGACAACTAGCATCGCCTTTTGACTTGTTGTAAACATTAAGTAATAGTGTAGCAAGGTTAGTAAAAGCACACAAAACATATAGAAACTTTTGAGAAAAGAAGTTTTGATCAGCACAAGAAAAAGAGTGGTGAATCTTGGCACAGTCTAGACATCACAGTTGATTCGATATATATTTGTTAGTATGATAAACTACTGGTGTTTGTCCAGCCTCTACTTATTTTTGATTGGAAGGCGACACCACACTGTCTATGTTTTTTTTAACTTAACAGCTAATGACCAAAGATTGACCGAGAACATACTTTTATAAAAATGTAATGCTAAGATCAATTGTATTTGCAATAATGTAATTATTTGATAATATAAATATCAATAATAGTTTATGTACCTATTTAACTTGAGTATTGTACCTAACGAAAATTTAACTTCAACATGACATAGTGTCATAGGAGTGAGCTAGTGTAGTGGGTGGGGGTGTAGGGGTTCTGGGTTCAAATCCCACCAATCACCATTATATTTTATTTGAGTGATATTGCCACGACCCTCTATGCCTAACCTTAAGGAAAAAGAAAATGGTTCTGGGTAGAGCCTAGGTTAACAGTATGTTAAGATGGGACAAATAATTTGCATGTTTAAGCTGAATATAAAAGAAAAAAAATCAAACTTTTATATTTTTAGCGTCAAAAATGGGAAAACCAAGTTTTTACCCCATAAAACCCTATTCCCATAGTACGATCACGATGGTTCGCAAACTTGTTCGAAAAAACATTGGTTTACATGTTTGTACAGAATTTCATAACAATCGAATGATTTTAACTCAACTTATTGTGCTAACAGACGCATACATACTATATATTATACATAAATTTGAGCGGATGGTGTTTTTGGATATTGGAGGCATCAAAACAAAAAGTTCAGGTTTTACCATGAGACCTACTTTAATAGCTTATCCTCTATATGAGAAATTTGATAACAATCAAAATGTTACTGGTTCTATCCTGAGATAAGTAAAAAAAAAAAAAAAAAAAAAAAAAAAAAAAAACTGGACCAAGCTGTACTAGATCATTGGGGCTTTTAACACATGGTCCTTTGAAAGTTTTCTCAATAGCCGGTCTTAGTCAGTAACAAAGATTACATAAGGCATCTCACTGCTTCCTACACTCATCCGTTCTTCATTTTGTGTTAAAATATGGCCAGTTGCATCTCCATCTTAGTTGGCAATATTATGAAAAAAAACATTTTTTCTATATATGTAAAATCCAATGTATGTTTGTTTGTCCTTTATGGACTCCTAAATCGCTCGACAGATTGTAATAACACTTTCAGGCATTATTAAGCATTATTCAAGGATGGTTTGTGTGAAGTTTGGTGCAGACCCGTCAAAAGGGCTCCGCCCCAGTGGCTCTGGAGTTTCCCATGTTAAACTTATGAGTACTTATATTTAAATGGAATTAAAGAATCTTAACAGCTGGTTAAACTAAACAATTAGATTCTGTGATGTTCAAAACCATTAAAAACCATTAGTAGGTTTACTAACAGAGTGCAGCACTATTTTTTTTTTATTCATGACAACATCTAATTTGCAACCAAAAGGTGAGTGAGCGTAGCGAACGAACTTCAACCTGGAGGCGAGTTAGCGTAGCGAATGAGCTAACCTGAAGGCAAGTGAGTGCAGCAAACGAGCTCCAACCTAAAGGTGAGTGAGCATAGCGAACGAACTTCGACCAGGACGTGATTGAGCCATGCGAACGAGCTCATCTTGAAAATGAACGAGTATTTGACATAAAACCACATTAGGACAGGACGACGTCTGTCGGGCCAGCTAGTTTCAATAAAAGTCCACTTTTAAAAAGGATTTGCATACAACATCTGTTTTTCTATATTTTATAATAGTGCAGAGGAAGAAGACAAATATTTTCTTCTTTGCCTTTTTTTTGGATAAATAATAAATATGGACACTTAATGGTAATACACATGCAATAAAAGACATAAAACTCAAACACCTAAAAATATTACAATGATAAAGAATATAATAATTATAGAAATATAGTAAGTCTAAAAATAACTGCAAAACAACTTGTAGAAAAATATGGATAAAATATCTTGCTCCATAGTGTTTCTCATTCATAAAAACTGCAGGCCAACAAATGCCATCTTTGGTGAACATTTTTTTCTCAAAGTCTTGATAACACAAACACTGATAGCAATTTTTAAGATGGATTTGAGTTTTTTTTAAAGACATGCAAGACACACACACAGTGGAAGAGTTTGAAGTATAGAGCTGTAAAGTCAGACCAACAGAATACTTGAATAAACTCACCCTCATCTAACAGGCCATTGTACCCTCTGGACTGTCGTAGGGAAGTTGTTGGGAGATCTCCTGCTTAGACTTAGAAGTGAAATAGAGCCAACAAGTGTTTGGGCTGAAAATCAGGGTTTTTTTAGAGCATGTGAGTCTACACTTAATGCAATCGAAGAAAGTGGTCCTTGGTGGATCGTGCTGCAAACAGCATAATGTGGACCAGATTATTCCGGCAATACACCTCGAACATTTGTAATACTTTCAACAGTGCTTCCTGGCAGAAGATTCTTGTCTTACTTAAAAGCCACGGGAGTTGAATAATACCTACGTAGGAAGATCCAGCAGTACTTGAGTGATAGGGAGGTACTGATGGAGACAGAACAAGGAGGCTCTCTGGAGCTGGAAGTGACTGGTGTGTCACAGGTCAAACACTTGAGGACAACTCTGTGCAACCTGATATGGGATTGGGTGGTGACTTACATTGCCATGTGGAGTTAGTGTATAGCAAATACTGAACAGTTACTGATGACCATGAGCTAGTCAGTGATCAGTCCATCACTGAGGTGGTTGCGTGGTTACAACTCGAGGGGATAGAGATTGCAACAGAGAAGGAAGAAGCAACTAGTAATGGCGGGTCATAAGTATCCAGGTAAAAAGGTTTATAATATTCCCTGCCAAGAAGTTAAAAACCTAGGGGTGTGGACCACAGAAGATCCTTTCAAATTAATGTGGAGGAAGTTGCACAAAGAAAAGACATATAGGATGGGAGTCTCAGTCGACTATTGAGCAATGTTCAAGGACCAAGACCAGGTAAACGAAAATTGCTGGCATGAGTAGTGAAGTCATCTATACAGTGCCAGATTGGATAAATGCCCTCAAATCCGATAAGGCCTGATAAATCCAGGAGCAAATGCAAAAGAAGATAGCATTTTAAGCGTACATTGGATACTAACGAGGCTGCATTCGTAATTGCAGGTGTCCCACCTGATTGTCTGGATGGATCTTTAGGCCCAAAAGGGACTGCAGCAGCAAGAAGGAATGGAAAAGGCACAGGCAAGGGACACAATACATTAAAGATGGCAAATAGATGGCCCAACACCTAAAAGACGGCTTGGACCAAAGTCCTTGTCCCAGATTGGAGGGACTAGGTGAAAATGACACTTGTTATCAAGAGTGACTTGTTATTGAGGTTCTTGTTATCGAGGTTCCACTGTATATGCTTTGAGTGCCAAAAATAGAGAAAACCAATTTTTACACTACAAAATCCTGTTTCCATTGTCAGATCATGCTGGTTCGCGAAATTGTTTGAATAAATGTAGGTTTACACATTTATACCATATTTTATCAAAATCATATGATTTTTACTCGAGTTATCGTGATAACAAACATCTACATACACAGTATAAATCAAATCACCGTTTTGTCTGTAAATTGAGTGGACTCACGAAGTTTAGGGTTATTTTTGTGTTTTATATCCTAAGAAAGACGGAACAAGTCTATCTAAATTTCTGTCTGTATGTTATTGTATCTGTGACGCCAAAATTCCAATTTCTACGGCCTACTCCGAGCAAACTAGAGTACCGGTACTCCTCAAGATTCAAATAGTTTAGTGGTGTTCACTGAACTGGCCAAAGTATCTTTACTCTTTAGCTATTAAAATATGGATATACTACTTTTGAAATAATTTAGCAAACATTCAAATACCCAACATTGTTATTTTTTTCATGTTTTCTTACAATGTTTACTACCTATGTTTTGTAACCCAATTTGTACCCTATAAACTATAAAGCTTTGTTCTCATAGTCTGAGCATGATGGTTCGCCAACTTGTTTGAATATACGTAGGTACCAAATTTCATCAAATCGGATCATTTTTACTCAAGTTATTGTGCTAACGTACACGACTGCCTATATTTTATATATGAATTTAAATGGATGGTATTTTTAATTTTTGTCATCTGAGGACATCAGAACAAAAAAGTAAATTAGTCCAGAGTTTCTCCCCATGAGACCTACGGGAATAGCTTATTTCCCATTTGTGAAATTCGCTGATTACAATAACCTTAAATAAGCATAAGCCTACAACAACTCTTCCACATACCAAATTTGAAATTATTTTAAAAGCTCTACTGCATGATGTCTGTAACTAAATCAGGCATTTATATGTTTGAAGTGTAACTTAAAAACTTGAAAAATTGTTCCCATTTCACGATCTTGCTGGTTTGCACTCATGAAAATTAATCCAGTCCAACAAATTCATGCCTAGTTTCATCAAAATCAGACCACAATTGCTTGAGTTATATCACATTTACGATCACATATGGGTGAAATAAACTAATATAATTAAATCAACGAATAATCTTAGGAGCTCCGAGTTTATAAATAAGAATGAATATGTGATAGGTAATTATATTACATTGTATAATCTAAGCAGTAAGCATAGAGCGAAGAGTCAGAAAACATTGAACAATAAGAAGATATTCTTCCATTGAAAAAAAAAAATAAATAAATAAAGTTGGACTTATGCAGCCTATAATTTTATTTTCAAAACTTTCATTTATTGGACCAGCCAAAATAAATAAAAATATAGTTGTTTAAACAACTTGTTTTTTTATCTGAAGATAAATTTGTCACTATAGAAATATTTTTTAAGCTGTGCTTATTCTTAGTTTGTTTATTGATTGGTCCAGCCAACTTAAACAATAATAGCCCAACAAAAGCTGTTTCAAAGCTTTTGGGCTCTTTTCGGGATTAAGGTGACCTTCATATTATGTGGTGGGCCATCGAACCCTTTTACCTTGCCTAGAGTATCCTAATAGACCTTAAAAGAAACTCTTTACATTTGCCCCCATCAGATACAAAAGTATGCACACAGTGTTTTCTATTGGTCATTGCCTTTGCTTCTGTTCCACTTCACATTAACTATCTGGGTTTACAAGCAACAGTGTTCAACACAATAAAAATCACTACAGTTTCAAAGTTCCACTTTGAGGCTAATTTTGTAATTTTTTCCCAATTTAGAATTAGATAAAGTAGATTGCTGCAAACCCATTTACTACGTGTAAGAGCAGAACAGAGCCTTCAAAAACAGAATGACTCGATGAAGTGAGGAGAAGCCACTGAATGTCTTTCTCAGTCTAGACATTAGCTAGTCTAGTCTGTACAGAGGTCAATCCGATGGCTTCAGATCACTTTAGGTAAGGATAAGAACAATGTGGTTTCATTACACCATCTTCCTTTGGTAATCGCAAGTGGAGACTCCGTAGTCCTGCAGGCTGAACAACGTCGCCGCATTCTTGTGCAGGAATCTGTAAACAAACACACAACTAATCATGTTTTTAGGAAAAAGCATTTAGCTTGGAATAAAAAGTGATATAGGATGGAGAGGACACAGCTAACTCACCTGAAGAGTCACAGCACAGATAAAAAAATTCAGTAGGTAATTTATTAATTGTGTATATAATTTATTTGTGCTTTGACTCATCTGCAAACTTTCTTAAAGAGAGCTAGCTTAGCTGTGTTCTCTCATCCTAAATAGTTTTTAATCACAACCATTAATTTGAGTTAACAAATATTAAGGAAAAGACCATTTTGTCCTGGTATTATGGGGAGTAAAGATTCAATGAAACTGGAGTTTCATTCAACATGTACGCTGACACGATGATTTTATGCCATTGTGGGCACCGACTTGTCGTTGACAGCAACAATCCCACTGTTATGTTACAAGTGTCATTGTGTTGTTAGTCCTTGAGTTGTAAAAATATGGCCAATAACAAGAAGATGGTGTCACTATGCTGGAAACCATTATGCTCAATCCTTGTTTTTGGGAAAAATTGTGTGGGAACAAAAATAAAGTAAAAAAATGTTATTATTGAGTCAATTCTAACACGTAAATCTCGACTCTGCATTTTAAGTGTGTGTCAAAAGGCAATAAATATAACAAATACAGCCTTCTGTTGTAGTAAGAATGGATTCTGTTGTGTCTGTGTGTCGGAACCTTGTGATGCCGGTGCTGTGTTGCCCAGTGTGAAAAGTTAAATTAAGCCTAATGCCTCTAAGTGACATTCGAATGCATTTGACACAACAGTGATCCACACTTGGGGCCCTATTTTTGAAATGGTTGACTGTTGAGTTGAGTGTCGAGTCATTCTATTTCCAATCGTTTCGTATTTTTGAAACGGTTGACGGTGGACTTATACAACCAAAACTACTCAACACCTATCGAGCTGTTGAGTGGAGGTTGACTGCACTTTATTCTTCCTCTCTTTCGGCAAAAAATTACTCTTTTTGAGACGACGCCATATTGTTTTGTTATTGCTTTAATTTACTAATTGCGATTTGATTTAGAGGTTATGTATTTGTTGTCAATGTATTAGCACCCAATTATGCGATTGTTTTCTGTAGAATAATCGCATTTTAATTTTATTTACTGTGTCAATACTAGACTATTTAATCAAGGGTTTTATTCTTGTTGGAATGTTTGAAATAGACTAGGCATACTAATTGAACTTATTATAAGATAATTATTGTTATTAGACCTATGATTTAAGGTTTTAAGATTGTGGTAGAGAGAAACAATATCATAGTTTGTTTCAATACCATTCACCTAATAAAGGGATCAAATTAATTTAAGTTACGATATGCTTTCAGTGCAATGGCAAATAGCCGCTTTAACCTAAATAAAAAACAATTAAAAATAACATAAAACAAACCGATGAAGGAAACTAAAATAAGGTGATGTGTTCCGAAATAGAGACGAAGAAAGCAAATAATAATGTATTTAGGATGAGTGTAGGACCTAAAGTAAAGTGCAGCCTATGCCTAAACTTATAATTAGCTACACCCTAAAACAAACATCCATAGTAAATTTTATTTTTTATACTTAAGTTTATTACTTTATTTAGTTTACTTTAGTTAATTACTTAAGTTAAGGTACTTTGCAATCACTAAGATTAAGCAAGACATAACCTCAATCTCAATTTCTCAAGAACGGAGTTGACAGTTTACCTCAGTGTCTCGAAATATGGCAGATTGAGATTAGCTGCCAGATTTTAGAGTAAGAAGAGGTTAAATCGAAGTCCGCAAGAACTCTGCATTGTGATTGGTTCAAAATGACGTCATCTGAATTTTTGACGGTCGTATGCTCTACATTTCCACCACGAGTCTCTCAACTAGTGATTCCCAACTCGCTTCCCAACTGTTGGGTTTCAAAAATACCAAATCATTAATCATGTTGTTGGTTGAGTTGAGTGCTGACGATTGACTCAACTGTCAACCATTTCAAAAATAGGGCCCCCAATGAGGTGCTAATAATCATGGAGGAATTAAAGAAACCAGTAATACCTGTGTACCTCAAAAAATGTATTTGGGATTCAGTATGGGTAAGATACTAGTTGGGTCTGGAAAATAGACAAAGATGACATGTTTGATGATATTCTTTCATCGTAACTTACTTTAAGAAGTCATGGATGTGCACCAGTAGTAGTTGGATGCTCTTCTCGTCCAATGCTGTGTAAGCAAGAACTCCACCGAGCTTCACTATAAAAAAAAATATTTATACTTCTACTGGGAGACAATGAATAGAATGGTGTTATGCAAAAAAGAGTCAACCCACAAAACTTAAATATTAACATAACCAACCCAGGTTATAAATTATTTTCTCTCTGTATTTTGCAAAAACCACTCAAGCCCTATCTAATTCCAAAGACATATAATATTAAGAGTTGTCACCCACACCCATTGAATTGCCACATTAAAAAGCAAAAAGCATTCAACTGACACTATTAAATTCCATGTCGCATTTGTGTGCGTGTGACATCGATGTCTTCGTTTTTGTATCCCTGACGATGCCGTATTTACGGCGAAACATGTAGGTTGCTAACCTCAATCATCATTTGGACTACTTGACGAGGTATTGTACCATTATTATAGTCTGACACTATTGTTAGCATTCAACCTACAATTAGGTCCATTTTGCAATAAACACTCAATCAGTAGTTCCAAGACAAGCCATTCTCATTTTAAAGCTTTTAGTGTCAACGTTAGTGTTGTTGTCATAGATCGAGCGTTTCCTGGTGAAGCCCTATCCCCTGGTGGTTAGAGTGGCTTTGGACTCTAACCACCAGGCTTCACAAAAAAAATACACCCAGGCTTCACGAAGAAACGCACAAACTCTAGTCGTCTTATTAATATTATGATAAAAGTTGAATTGAGATTACAATTTCTACCTTCTAATACTATATAAGGTAAGCTACAATTATCCTTATATATAATACGTGAAGGCGATTCTGACGAAACACTACTCCTCCGTTAATAATGGACAGATTTTTACAAACGATGTGTCAAAATTAAGTATTTTTTTCTGTTGATGCCCCCTTTCACCAATTCCTGTAATTAAAGTCCTCGGGCTTTGCCACACAGGCCATACAAATCCCAATGTATTTCTTATGAAGAAAAGATTTTGTTTACTTAAACATACGAATAATTTGTAGACATATTAATTTGCAAACTAAAAAGCTGTTCATAGTAAACACATGATATACACAAGAGCATTTGTTTTCAAAGTGAGTTTGTTTTCAGTTTCAATAACTGGAGTGGAGTGATTGATTACATTATCTTTGAGTTGACTGTTTTAAGTCATTGGAAATTATGACTGTAATTCGTTTTTAAATAACGCCTGTAACACTTTGCAATTGCTTGAATTTGAGCAACAGGTGCACTAGTGTTTTTATAATATGTTAAGCTATTTTTAAACAATTTTTAAACAAGTTGAGAAATTTTGGAAGAAATTCAATTTGGAAAATCAAGTGCTATATTTAATATCTTTAACAGCCATAAAATTTTCTATTAATATTATAAGAAACCACCTATATAACAATTATCATAATTAGGTTTAAACAAACTTGCAAAATTTAATGTAATATTATTTTTTGTTCTACAGCAGACTACAATGTGTAGTAAGATTTCAATTTTTAAAATAAATTTGAATTTATATATAACATAACCTAAAAAGTCTGTTTCAAGAAGCACTTGCTTAACCTTTTCCTTCATTGTCAATAAATTAATATTTCGGTGGTACTAAGTCTTACCATGCCACCTACGGTAATAGCTACTTCCCTATAGGGAAATTCGCTAAAAAACCATCCTTAGCCTAAACTTCCTACTGGGATAGCTTACTACAAACGGCAACTTAACTTTCACAATTAAGGCATCCATGTTGGTAGTTCAGGAAAAGGAATTTTTAATGATTGGATGGAGCATAAAGCTGGAAGAGGTACTCAAGAGGTTGGATCTTGCTTACACAAATTTATAACTGAAAACCTCAAGGAACCCGTTAAGCACTTGATAATGTGGTCTGACTCATGCAGAGGGCAGAACTGTAGTATAAAACTAGTCTTAATGATGATTCACATCCTGCAAAACCATCCTACCCTGGAATCTATTACACTCCGGTACCTACTTTCAGGTCACAGTTTTCTGCCTAATGACTCGGAGTTTGATGTCGAAAGAGCATTGAAAATACAACAGCGACTGTACACTGACTCAGAGAACACTACAGCCATGCAAGAATGTAGGCAGAAAAATAAGTTTCAAGTAAGCTAAATGAATTCAGAGGACATGTTTTCAGTTAACAGGGGAAAGTTTGTTGGCTGGCAACTCATATACTCCGTGATACACGATCACTCCTCATTTGTCTATAGCAATAAATAAAATGAATGACTTTTAAAACAAACTCTTTTTATGCACAGGAAAAAATCCCGTCCCACAAATCAGGAAGGAATAAAAATCCCGTCCCGTCCCGAACTAAAAATTCAATCCTGTCCATTCCTAAAAAATATATATTAACAATGAGAAAATATGTAACAGGTAATTTCTTGGGACGCCCGATCTTTAGAGTGAAATATCTCAAAACTCATCTCGTGTGGGTTGACTCCTTTTTGCATAACACCATCTAGCATTAACTACCATACACAGGCTTGAACAAGGATTTGTTAAACTCCACATGTTCTAAAATATGTCAAAGCACAAAAAGTGTAAGCCTACATTACTTTTTCACTTTTTGCAACTAACTTTTGACAATGTTATAGCTTAAACTTACCGAATAGCCTAAGCAGATGGACAGCACCATATATTTTGCTCATGGGTGTGTCAGGATTGGCTGCTAGAATCTGTAAACACAATGATGAAATTAAAAACACTAAAACCTGAATGACTAATTCAGCAAACAAAACTAAAGGATAATACTATATGCAGTGTTTGTATCATTGCATTAAAAAATGTGATCTAACATTTGATAAGAAGGCACATCCTATTGTGAATCACAATTTAACTGGACCATCATCCCATGAGTTTGAATTATGTTCGAACTATAAATAACAAAAAACCCCATCCTATTGTAAATCACAATTTAACTGAACCGTCATCCCATGAGTTTGAATTATGTTCGAACTATAAATAACAAAAAACCCCATCCTATTGTAAATCACAATTTAACTGAACCATCATCCCATGAGTTTGAATTATGTTCGAACTATAAATAACAAAAAACCCCATCCTATTTTAAATCACAATTTAACTGAACCATCATCCCATGAGTTTGAATTATGTTTGAACTATAAATAACAAAAAACCCCATCCTATTGTAAATCACAATTTAACTGAACCATCATCCCATGAGTTTGAATTATGTTCGAACTATAAATAACAAGAAACCCTTTTATTATACATTAAGCAAACTTCAAACTGTCCAATTAAGAGGATGTTGAAATGAGATTGCAACTAATTAGTAGTAAATTCAAACAAACTGATCGTTTAAATATAATTAAACTAGGCCTACCTTGGCATATTGCATTCTCTCGAACTTGTAAAGTAGTTGAGTGCCGAGCATAACATTGAAGTATTCTCTGATACCATTTACTACCTCCAATATAGCTGTTTCCCTAAAAGTGAACAAGAACATTTCAAGACTAAAATAAAAATACACATTCTTTGTCTATATAAAATCTAATTTTTGAATGATATAATTATTAACCATCTTTGAGATGAGTGGAAACATCAGGAAGGGCACCTCCAAGATATGGAGAGCTTCGTCTGGTACACAGACGGCTCCCTAATCGATGGAAAATCTGGTTTTGGGGTTTACTGTCGATCACCCAGAACAGAACTATCAGGAAGTCTGGGACAATACTGTACCATCTTCCAGGCAGAAATCTATGGCATCTTGGCTTGTGCCAATCTAGGACTAGCCAGACGGTACCAAGACAAAAGGATAGTGATTTTATATGATTGTCAGGCTGCTCTCAAAGCTCTTGACTCAAATGAAGTCACCTCAAAACTGGTCTGGGAGTGTTTCAACACCCTCTGCAGACTTGCATCACAGAACTCTGTAACTCTCGGCTGGGTCCCAGGCCATGTAGGCATTGGCGGCAACGAGAGTGCAGACAAGCTGGCAAAAAAAGGTGCGAGCATGCCACTCTTTGGACCAGAGCCATTTTGTGGCATCAGCAAAGCGGCCGCTAAACATGTAATAAACAAATGGTCCAGGGGACAACACCTTGAGCGTTGGCGTAATTATCCTGGACAATCACTTGGCAAAAAACTGCTCTCAGAATCTAGCACCCCCTTCACTCGCTGGCTGCTAAAGCTGGGGAGAGGGCAGGTCAAGCAGGTACTTGCTCTTATCACTGGACACGGCCATTTCAGGAAACATCTCCACACTCTAGGAATTGTCAATGACAAGCAGGAGTGTCGACTTTGTAATCAGTCCGATGAGACTGCTAAACACATCATTCTGGACTGCGATGGACTACGGGCTAGGAGAAGGGCTCTGTTTGGTCTAAAGCAGCCAGGTGATGAACCAGACGCTAACATTGGGCAAAAGCTCCTGCACTTAGTTAGGGACACAGGTATAGGCTTACCCAGTTAGTGGCAAGTGGGATGCACAATAAGCTTCGGTTGACGTGCTTGGACCTTGAGTCCACCCTCACACAATCAATCAATCAATCAATCAATCAATCAACCATCTTTTGTTAAGTATCCAAACCTCCTCTTACATTTCTGAAGTTTTATATCGTAATGTTATCTCCCGTTGTAATTCTTATCATTTGTTCCATTCTCCATCGATTACTATTTTCAAAAAATGCATCACTGGCTGTCTGATAGAGTGGGGTGTAGATGAATCAGAACTCCTAATCAAAGCAGAGTACAGGCAGACTTGACTCTACTTTATTCTCCCGTAATCTTTACTGAATAACTGAATTACTAACATCGAACATTCTTAACTACATATATATATATGTATGTGCCCTCCGCCTTGCCTCATTCCTTAAATTGCTCATTCACCAATTTAGAATCAGAATAGTTTTACAATTATATTAAATCATTTGTTTTTAAGATTCTCTGAATATCTATGAATATAAATATTATTTATATTCATATTATTTTCCATTTTATTTATTTTTCCAACAAATACGTCAGTCACTGATAGCGACTGAGCCTACGCACAGGCTTCCAGCCCATGTAGGCTTATTTCCTTATGTTTAACGTAGCTTCTCTGAGACCTTACATCCTTTGTTGTTATTACTAAGTTTATTTGTATTTTTATATTTAATTAGGTACCTATTTTTATCTATGCAATAGCAAGTAGGGTGTCTGTCCACTGGAAGTTATGTTATAATTTATATTCTGTATTATTTTTTGGAAATAAAGTATGTTTGATTTGATTTTTTTGATTTGTATTGTCTCCCTTGTCTGTGTCTTTTCTATTCCTTCTTGCTGATGCAGTCCTCTTGGGCCTAAATACACTAGAGGTGGAACATTTGTAACTTCGCATGCAGCCTTGGCAGTATCCACTGCACTCAAACGCTGTGTTCTTTTGCATTCACTCCGGGAGAACATTATCTGGCCTCTGCTGATGCCCGATTTGAGAGCTCTTATCCTACCCCTAAATGACAATTTAAAACTTTAGAATGGTGTCCTCAACCACACCAAATAAATACTTACTTGTTTGGGGTTGTGCTCTTACTGGAGATTTTTGTGTTGTAGTAGTCATCCAAAATTTGATCAACGGTCACTGCTGCTGGTAAATTTAACAGCTGAAAAACAAATAAGCTTGAAAAAAATTATTAAATTAACTTGGGATGGACAATACTTTGTTTATCCAGTTTGAGCACTGAAAGAAAAGCATTTTATCTGATAGTAAAATTAAGTTGAGGCTACATTGATTTACTAAATTATTCAAGATATTAAAATAGAAAATTAATTGTTAATACTCGGTCAGTTCCACAATTTTAAGGCCTAACATATTGTTTGTTTCAGTTAAATAGACCTACAGCTTAAGTCGGTGTTTAAACCATAGTCAACCACACCCTTATAAACGTCAAACGAGTCTGTACATGTTCAAATCTGGAAGCACAAAGAGAGATATAACACAATTTTAAAACACAAGAAAGGCCGGTGCCATTTGGTAAAGGTCTAGTTGCTTTAATGAAAAGAAATACAAGACTTGACACTGTCTGTGGTCGTTGGAATGTTTAGAAAATACAAGTAGTAAAATAAAAATAACATCAGATTATTAGATAATAGATAGTAAACAAAAGATGGGGAAAAGGCAACAAAAAGACTTCTTTCATAAATTTAGCCTAGTTAAGAAAACCATCTGTCAAATTTGGGTTAAAGAGAGGTCCAAGCCTATTTGATTTGAAAATAAATTATTTCATTAATTTTGATAGGCTACATATAAAAAATGAACTTACTTTGCGTTGTGTTGAAATCAGCTCCCAATCATCGACCAACCATGGTTTTAACTCATCAGGTATTTTAACCTTAATTTCCACTTTCGATAGAAACTGTTCTTCCTGTTTGAAAAACTAGATTAATAAATTGATAACAACTAATAATCCCTTAAATTTACTATAGAGGTTATAATACAAACTATATACTACGCTTTGAAAATTCAGTTTCTACCCAGTTTCATTCATGTTCTTAAATGTAACCAAAACCTTTTAGTGTCATATGGAATCGGAGTCAAATCAAGTATCAAACAATAAATCAGAGGTAAATGTAACTTAATCAAACTTCTTAGTTGGAAACTCATTACAATTTTGTAGCCTATTTAACAATTTCATTTTATAAGACACTGTGTGCATTAATTGAAGAGTCTCGCAGGTTACCCAACAGTTTCCCAAAACACACACACTGTTTATTACACTCAACAATAATAATGATTTAAAACTATGCATGGATCTAATATTGTTCTGTGTGAAATATAAACAAAAGACACTCGATAATCTGGAACATTCCAGATACAACAGTGCCTGATATCCAACAATGCTGAATAGTAACACACTGTTTAAAAATAGCCGTTATTGCACAGATATCAGAAATACCATAAAATAAAGAGTAATAGGGCTATTTTCGCTGACAGCTGATTACAAAAAGCCACCTCTAGACCAAAGTACTTATGTGAGGTTGATATCAAATAGCCTAACAACTTGTAGCGTGTTACCGTTTCCACAGCGGGATCCGTCCGCGCCTTCTTCTTCTTAGGCACATCACTTGCAGAGTCCTGAGAGGAGGACTGAGTCGCCGTGGCCGCAGCTGTTGTTGCCGCTATGGCTGCCTTCTTCTCCTTCTCACCAACAGTGACTTTCTCTTTGTCATTGACAGGTGTCGATGATCTGCTGTCAGGGCCCCCCACACTTTCTGGCCCGCCAATGCTCTTATTCTTTTTGGGCTTTTTGTTTTTCCTGCGGTAACAAAAAACAAGACAACGTGACACCAAATAAGTTAAGTCAAGCGACATTTTGTATTCACTAGGCTTGAAAAGCTTAACTGTGATGTATCAGAAAGGAAACAATGTCTATTGATGAATTTTATTCACTAGCGCTGTTTAGTTAAAAATGCAAATTATTTAGGATTTAACTGTTACCATAGACAAATAGAATAAATATAGACTGTCAGAGGAAGGTTCCCAACTGTGCCGATAGAGCGTCCTTAGTGTTTGTCGATTCGCTGTCGACTCACCGTCTGCTACCAGCACTACCACCCTTGCAAACGAAATGATACCAAAGTATCAGACCCACTTTTCAATATGGGCAAAGTACAAAATTCTGAAGTCCTGTAGTTTTAATAAAAAAGCCCATTTTTTAAATTCCCGGGAATTTTTTAAATATGGAAAAATAATAATAATATTAAAAAATCCTACCCGCGGATTCCGGGGAATTCTCCAAAAGTTGGCAACCCTGGCTCCAACTACCAATTTTTTTTGTCATGGCTAGGTACGCTTTCTAGCACTTGGTGCTGTAGCGGTGTTAACCGAAACTACAAAACTCCTAGCGGTGGACCCCAGAATATATGCTAACCGCAGCACTGCTTTTGGTCTATATTTAATTCTTTTGTCTAGATGCTGTTACCTTCATAAGTTATTTAAAAAAATAAAAATAATGACAATTTAGTTTTGCAAATTGTTTATCAACCTTAAGATTTGTTTAAATAACAAACTTTATTAATTTGATTTTATTAGGCTACCTATTTAAAATACAAAATGCTCTAGGCTATTCCATAGCCCAGTATTAAAGGTTTTTAAAACCATGCCTATAAAATAATAACTCCATGATGTAATGGTCTCTGAATCAAACTAATAGTTTTTCATTTTCTGGTTACTGTCATAATGATCCTAGGTAATAGTCCTAGGTAACGACAACTAGGCGTAGACAGCTATTTCGTGCTGTCAAAAATAGAGCTCTTTTTCAGGTTTGAATACTTTGCTAATGATACCTCATTGTGTAGTTCTTCAGGAGATCCAAATTCGAGATTGGAGCAAGACATTTGAACCTGAAGATTTGCTCTATTTTCGACAGCACGAAACAGCTGTAGTCGTCATTATAAACTATTAAGGAGCATTTTGACAATAACCAGGTAATTTAAACCTCCATTAATTAGTTCAATGTAACAAAATATGGAAACAAAAGATTAGAAGATTTATAAAAAATTTTAGAGCTGCTTTAAGTGTTGCAAAGGAGTTCACTGTAACAGGACGATCGGCTCCACCACAATTAACTACAATTTTTTCTGAATGTATTTCAAGCAGCTTGTACAGGCTTAGGTGTATAGGCTTTTGCAGTTTGATCCCAAATTTTTACTTACGGTTCATTCTTTTGAGCTTTATGAAGGTCTCTTTGTTTTTGAAGATTGGCCTCGTTGAATTTCAATACCCGACTTTCAGGCACCCATTCGTCCCAACTGTAAAATACACATTTAAATTAATAATGTGACTAGCACAAACACACATACACAATAGCAAGTAGTCCATAGCGGCATATCTAAATTAACTGCTATAGAACATAGATAATTGATATGACCTCTCACCTTTTATTCCATCCCGAGTAATGTATGTGATACTCAGAGACCTTTTCCTTCTCATTGTATCTTGTCTGCATGCACTTAGCGATGTAAATTAGAGGACCATGAAAACAGAGGACCTTTTCACCTGCAAACAAGTAAACAAAATAATATGTTTTGGATTTGGACTCAATCGTGTTGGTATTGATTATTATTTTGTTAAGTTAAATAATATTAGAAATCACAGTTATAGAAGAAAGTATAAAGTATTGGAGAAGGTAGAGGGATTACAGATAAAAAGAGATAAGTTACAAAAATAGTTTTGCATTGAAAGATAAAAGAGTACAAAACCACGGATAATCATAGTGTATTTTCACCCTGCTGTGAGATTGTATTGATAAAGACCTCGTCAGGAACCCCAATGAATCGGGTAGCACCAGGACTTGGATAAACATTGGGTTGGGAAACAAACAGCACTACAGTAACACAGAGTTCATTCCGGTATGTTTTTTTCGTGATTGCATTATCAAAGTTAATCTTGGTTTGTTGGCTACTCATCACATAAATAAAATTATACCCTACACAATTTACTAAAAAAACGTGGAGGCATATTTCGAGCTTACATCAAAACCCATCTTCAGCCTCTGGTAAAATTTACCATCTTCAGCCTCTGGTAAATTTTACCAGAGGCTGAAGATGGGTTTTGATGTAAGCTCGAAATATACCTCCACATTTTTTTAGTAAATTGTGTATAGTTTTATTTATGCATGATGAGTAGCCAACAAACCAAGATTAACAGTAGGTAACACAGAACAAACGAATCAGCCATTGGGTCAGTTAAACTGGGCCAAATTCATAATGATGAAAAAAATGTCACCACTCATGAGATCGAATCAAAGGTTTAAAATTAATTCACAGGGATTCGCTCGTAAACAATATATGTTAACTTAGGTTGCCAGAGGAAAAAAATAGTCAAAAGAAAAATTAAACTGCTACTGAGGCGTAAAAAAGGAAAAAATTCTTAACTCTCAATGGCAACTTGAAAAGCGAAACTGGACCTGCAGGATCCTGTGTCACAGTCGACAAACTGTGGCAGCCACGGGATGAATTGCAGCCAAAAAATATTACGAAACAAGCAAAAACTTCTAACGTTCCAAAAGTGATTTAGAAATCAAACTTCAGTAAAACCTCGCTGACTCAACAGTCTGTGTAACTTGATACTTCGTCAACAGTTGACAGGGGGTTGACAGGTCCTACTGGATCAATTTTATCTCCTTTAGACAATCATTTTTACTATTGGATGGCTGAAAAAAGCTTGCCAGTGATAGCTTAATTACCTGAATGTAAGATATTTGACATAGGCTAGGCCTATTTAACTTTTAGGATGGCGCTAAGATTGCCAAAAATTGTGCCACCAAGAATATGTAATAAAAAAAACTTAAGGCATAGCCAAGAGAACTTAGGCCTAACTTACCATCAGAAAATTTAAACTTCGGGGGGGACTTGAAGTCTTCCTTCGGCGCAACTTCCTTCGGAGAATCCTTCTTAGCTGTGGCTGCCATTGTGGGTCGCTCAGACCAAGAAACTGAAAACCATCCACAATTTGCAATAAGTTTTAGCCCGTTTTAAGTTGACTTGCAGTACATTAAGTTACGGTAATAAGTACCTATGCCTAGCCTACCTAACTTATATAGGCCTAACAAATTTAACATTTCATTAAAAATCTAACTTAGACAGACTATTTTCCCAGCATATTGTCATCAATTAACTTATTGAAGCAAGAACAATTCACTCAGTGGGAACTCTCCTTTTCCTTTAACTTAGGCTACGGTACATTAAGTTTACCGTAAAACGGGGTGACTTGAGCTCACTTTTGAACTTTGCTTGTTCATTAAAGTAAACCCATTAAGTATTTTTTTATAAATCTTTTACAGAAAACTTAGTCTTGGTCTATTCTACAAATGTGTGGAATAAGATTTTTTTAAAGTTAGTGTAACTATTTAAAAAAAAAAAATATGGGTGGGCTCAAGTCACCTCGTTGGTCGGGGTGACTTGAACCCAGCTGATATATTTCAATGCTATTCTAATGCACTAGACCCACTGCACTGACCCATGAGGTGACTTGAACCCACATATAAGTATAGCTGACTATTTTGGTATTTTTTTAGATAAAAAATTCTTGTTTTTTTAGATTTAATGACGGTAAGTGTAAAACAAAACACAAAGTTTTCGTCGAAACTGTAATAAATTTATAAAAAACTTGCAGAAACATTTAAACAAATTTTACTTACAAAATATTGAAGATCTGAATATGATTAATCAGAAAAACTCCACCAGCAATTTTTGAAAATATAAAAAAGTAATTTTTTCTGAAAATGAAATGTTGCCAATATCTCGTTCTAGTTAATCCGAACCGATTCGTCACTCCGATATAGAAAACTTCACAATAGACATTTTGACAGTCATTAATAGACTAACTAAATGTAAAAATAACAAATTGTTTTTTATCTACACACTATTTACACTAGTAAAAGCACTTGTTCTACTTTATGTCTTTGTCCATTAACCGCCACTTTTCCACTTCTGGAACGGCAAAAGATCCTCTGGCGGTAATGGGTGTGGGGGCTGCTATTTTTCCTTTAACTTCTGCTTTGCTGTACCAGCACTCATCTACCTTTTCTGGCCATTTCCAATTACTAGACCACATGAAATAATGAAAGTGTCTTATTTCATTACTAAACAAACGTTACCACTTAAACACAGGTGGGCTCAAGTCACCCCAAAATCTGCCAAACTTGGTCATGATAAGGTAAACCCAGGTCATACTGACTTAAACCATTACATAATCAAACATGCTTCAACATGTTTGTGTTGTCAAGGAAATAATGAAATGGGGAAAAATAGTTTTATTTTCATTTAAGTGCAAATACCCATTGTGCCGATAACCTTTTTTCAACGTAATGAAATTCAGATTCGGACGTGTTAACATTATTATTTTTTATAATTATTAAAATGGACAGTTAAAATAATTGGAATCGTTTGTGGTGAAAGCTAATTAGGTAACCTTCAAATTGATATATAAAACCTTTTGATAAATCATTTAGGTTTTCTGAAACGAAAATTCAAAACTTTTTCTTGCGTTTTGGGCTCAAGTCACCCCTTTTTACGGTACATATAAGTTGGAAAACACAAATATAAAAAACTCTATAAGGGTCATTGGCTTGAGGGGTCTTTGTGCTTCGTAGGATAAGGACCTTCTTAAACCTGACCCTAGCTCCTTAAACTTGTTTATTCTGCCTAATAGAACAACACATTTCGTAGGCCTATTCAATCATCTTGTGGGGAGCTGTTTAGTGCTACACCATCGGCCTAGGCCTAAACTTAGATGCATTCCATCAATCCAATATGCCAAATAGGCCTCTGAGGCCTAAATGATTTAATTCAATGGCTAAGTTAAAATGAAATGAGAATTTCAACCTATATGTCCACTGACTTAAATTAAGCCTTGATAAATTAAACAGTTTTAGCCAACACCCTAATTCTTTATGATTTACATTTGATTGGTGCCATCTCATTAAAATGTATTTTTTGGTCTTGTTGGTTAGGACCTTTACTATCCTCATCCACACAGAGATGATTGGTCTCGACTAGGGATGAGCATCGATAACTTAATACGTTTTCAAAACATAGGGCCTAAGTTGTGTTTTAAGTTACATCAGGTTACCGGTAGGCCCTAGGCCTAAATACTCATGTTTTTGTTAACTTACATCGATGTTTTTGTCAAACATCAATGTTAGAGGCCGATGTTTTCGGCCAAGTAGGCCTATTGAGATATCGATGTTTTTCATTACGGTACTGGAGATTTCAGAGAGCAGACAAACAACTGAAAAAACATTGATGTTTTCGCAACGATCGATGGTTGACCTATCAATGCTCATCCCTAGTCTCGACAAAAGCTTCTGAACAGTTCAATAAGTAGGGACCATGTAGCATAGGCTAGTAGGTCTATGGTCTCAACCATGTCTCAACCCAATCTGACTTTCTACAAAGTAACTTCAAGCCTACTAAACTTAGCCTAGTACTAACCTCTAAAACTTGTGTTATTGTTCGATCAACATCAACTTTTTCAGTCAACTTAAAACGTTGGCTTCTTGATAAATTAAAAGACGAGATAGTCCTTGATGTAAACAATAAACATGAGCCTAACCTGTCTACAGTCGTTTATTGTTTAGTACTACTGTATTATTGCTGGCTGATCCAGTAAAGCAGTTCCTGTAATACGCAAATTAACCTAAAAAACAAACCACAATCACCTAGAATTGATTAATAATATTAATTAAAGTTATAGTTAATACATTATTCTAGGTACTGTGTAATAGTAATCTAAAACAGATGCAAATGCAAATTAAATTGATACAAAACAAAACGCGGTTACCGTTAGTGAAAACTTACTATCGATAGTACTATCGATAGTATCGATAGTTTGAAAATATCGATAGTGGGTCGATAGTATTATACTATCGATGAGACTATCGATAGTTTTTTTACGTTAAATTAAGTAAAGAAATCATTATCTGGTACACTTACATTTCATTGTTTGTCTGTTAATGCATACCTATAGTTAATATTATAGACTATTTTTTTTTTAATTCATTGTAGAAAAGCTTGGTAGACAAGTAGGCTACCTTCTCAAACATTTGAAAGCTGGGGCATTTGCTAATTCACTACCGGACTTATGGGTACATTTGCCTCGTGGGTTTTAGTACATACATTTGCCTACATTTGCCTCGTGGGGCATAGTAGAGACACCGGTATACGGTATTTTCCTTTGATCTATGGTTTTAGATTGTCATAAAATATATATATATATATATATATATATATATATATATATATATTATTTATGCTATGTGAGTAAAAAAATATTTTTGTAATGAATAATAAAAAGAAAATAGTAAGAGAATTTTTCTTTTTTTATTGTTGTAACCCTTAAAAAAACTTATTGTTATTTTATACAAATGTTGTAATATTTTGGAAAAAAAACATAAAGGGGGCTCCAGGGCGTCACTCATAAATTGTTAAAATTAATAATCTGATACAGCTTTATCTTCGACTAGGTAGAAACCATTATTTAAACTCATGCAGGCAGGATATATACAATATTATATGCATTAAAATTCCATTTGATTGACTATCGATAGTACTATCGATAGTATCGATAGTTTTTAAAAAACCATCGAAAACTATCGATAGTGTGACTATCGATAGTAAGTTTTCACTAGTTACCGTTAGTTGCCCGCTTGCCGGTCGTAGTTCGTAGTCAGTCCTATCGTCGTCAGACAAACAAAAACAACACAAACATGTAAACTAAACACACGTGACGTGAACGTGAACGTGAACAATACGAATACATAGAGGATACGCGTCCGGTAACCGGACGTGGATAAGGCGTACGGCAATGACGTCATGGGGTTGCGGGAGCCTGGAACGCCTTTACCACAACAATACAACGTTCAGCCATCGGTGGTCGTGGTGTAATGGATAAGGTGCTCGGCTGATATGCAAGAGGTCCAGGGTTCGAATCTCATTGATGACTTTAACTTTTTGACGAAGAGTTTGCATTGAATACCATTTATTCTTAACTGTACATCTTTTATTAGAATTTTTGGCATTTATAATTTTTTTATAGAGAAAGAATTTAACCTTAATTAGATTTTTTCATTATCAGCAAGTTTGGTTGGTTAGGTTAGGTTATGACAGTAATTGCCGGACGTCTAATCCACGTACGGTTACCGGACGTGTATCCTCTGCCATACGAATACGACTGTCACCGTCACTGTCACTCGTCATCGTCACTGTAGTGAGTCGTTGAGTGAGAGTTGAGTGAACAGCGAACTGAGTAGTGAACTGAACACTGAACTGAACTGAACCTGAACTGACTGAACGTTAACGGGGCACAAGGCACAAGGCCACACTAAAAAACGGCGGACAGCACAATTTTTATTTCAGCTGCAGTTTTTTAATACGGACAAATGAGAGTAAAAAATGATAAATTACAAAAAAATGTTATTATAAAACTAAGAAGAATATAAAACTAAACTGACCGTATGTTATTTGAAATTAACACTAATGGACCCATTTCAAAAAAGATTTGTTTGTGTTAAACCCAAATAATATGCATTTGATATAGAAAAAATAGGTATTTTGTTAGTTAGGCCCCGTTTATGCACCAAGAGCGGGGCGGGGCGATAGCGGGCCCGCTCCCGCTGTGAATGGGGCTGTTTATGCACGAAGAGCGATAGCGGTAGCGGTTGGTTAAAGGAGAATGGAAGGGGGGCACAGTCTTGCCAACTCAAACTCTGCCAAATAATTAACACAACTATTTGTCCTAAGTGCACGTGCGCGTGGGTCAAGTTGGCAACCCTGGCTTCAGCCGCTCCCGCTCGCACGATTTTTATTTCAGCTGCAGTTTTTTAATACGGACAAAATAAGAGTTTAAAAATTAGAAATTAAAAAAAAAATATTATAGGCCTAAAACTAAATAAATATATAATTAATTTTTTAATTAAACTGTCATAACCTAACCTAACTAACCAAACTTGCTGATAGTGAAAAAATTGAATAATGGTTTACAGTACTAATAGAAAAAATAGTTCTGTTCATAAAATAAAACTATAAACGCCTCAAATTAAATTTTATATTTTATATTTTTTTTTAATTCAACTGTCATAACCTAACCAAACTAACCAAACTTGCTGATAGATAGTGAAAAAATTGAATGAAGGTTAACTAATCGAAAAAATAGTTCTGTTCATAAAATAACACTATAAATAGCTCAAATTCAATTTTATAAGGTTTTAATTGTAAAATTTAACTGTTATAACCTAACAAAACTAACCAAACTTGCTGATAATGCAAAAATCTTAGACAAAAAGTTTGTGCTCCTGAGGGGTTTCGAACCCGGTACCATAAGTTTAGTGGTCCGGCACGCTATCCACTAGACCACCGAGGCCGATAGCTTCAACCCGTTTCATTGCGCTAATGGTGTTCCCTCAGCCAATAGGATGCTCTCATTTTGTTCTTATTAAAATAACTGCAGCTGAAATAAAAATTGTGCCTCCCGCTCCCGCCGTGCATAAACAGTCCCATTTGACTCAATGTAGTTGAAAACCGCTCTATCCCAAGCAACCGCTGCGATTTCTAACTACACAGCGTGCGAATTAGAAACCGCAGCGGGAGGTCAACTGCTATCGCTATCGCTCTTGGTGCATAAACAGTCCCATTTAACTCAATGGTGTTAGAAATCGCTCCCGCTGTCGCTACCGCTCCCGCTCATGGTGCATAAACGGGGCCTTACACAAAAACTAAAAGAAGTAAGTGTAAATTACAAAGTTAATCAGAATTTAAAAAAAAACCTATAAAATGATGTGCCTTATTTTGACACATATGTTTCTATTTAAAAATTTTGAACAATATGGGCTTTTGCAAATTAAAAAAAATAATAATTTATTTCTCAAAAAAAACTTTACTTGTAGCATATTAGAGTAAAGATAATTTCATAATAAGGAAGACAATTCAACAGGAGAAGGGCTGCATTGGTATAGGAAACACAAAGTGTTAAACAAATATTGATTTTTTTTCAAAAAAGACTGCCACCATTTAAAACGGAAATAGTTATTTGTGTAATGATCTCGAGTGCAGCAAAGGCCTTTTGCACTCGTGTTACACATTATATTTTTCCTACAGTCACTATAAAGCATATAAATAATTAGTCTTTCAAACACTATACAACACGTTTTTAGGTTCAGCTGGCAACACAAAATAGGTGCCCTAGAGAAAGTAGTACCCGGTCCGTATCACTCCGCTATTTTTCCCCGGCAAGAAATGTGCTCCGCGTTTTGAGAATATAGTTCCGTATGTTTTTGTAATTTGAAGTGGTTTCCGCGCCTAAAAAAATTCTTTGAATGTTTTAAAACCGTTTAAAAGAAAAGTCCAGAAAGTTCAGAAATACCGAAACTATAAACACGAAATGACAGGTTAAATCATAGTTATAATAGTCAATCAGCTGCTCACCTATTTCCAAGCGTACACGGATTACGTGCATATTAGAACCACGCTGTTTTTTGTGTTGTTTCGTTGGAATCCTGATGTGCGGCAAAGTAAAACCATACGACAAAGTATAAACCGTACGACAAAGTATAAACCGTACGGCAAAGTATAAATATGCAGCAATTAGCAGCTTTCTGTACTATAAACAGTACAAGGAAGCCAACTTTGTCGGTGACTGTAGGAAAAAGATAAATAATTTCTGTATTTGCCAATATGTTTTTTTGGTACTTTCCTGTTAAAGGGAACATTCATTATAATCGATGATTTTTTTCGATATATCGATATTTTTGTTTACCGATCCATTACATATTGACAACTGATCTTGTTTGGGCTTAAATAGTCTATTATATGGATTAAGAAATGATACTGTTCTAAGCTAACCTAACAAAACCAACCAAACTTGCTGTACTATTTAAAAATTCCTTTTGATAACAGAAAAGGCAAGTTAAACATGGAATGTTACACAGCAAGTTTGGTTAGTTATGTTAGGTTATTTTTTTAGAACAGTTTCATTTCATTATTGTTTGTTGATACTGAACAATATTTATCGTAGTTGTCAGCTGATATGTTTCAATTTGTTAATATCGATATATCGAGAAAAAAATCATCGATAATAATGAATGTTCCCTTTAACAGGAAAGTACCGTTTTTAGCGAATTTCCCATATAGGGAATAAGCTATTACCGTAGTACTCATGGTAAGACCTGGACGCGGGACCGATTTTTTTTTTCGTTTTGAGGTCCCTAGAGGCCAAAAACACCATACGTTCAAATTCATATATATATATATATATATACACGGCCGCGCCCGGGAAGCCAGTCACATAAAATATACACTGGAAGTCAGTCAGTTGCACCCCCCAATATATTTCAAGACTATGATATATATATAATATATGTTGGTAAATATCTTAAGCCTAGACATATCTGAACGTATATATCTCTTTTTTTCTTAAAAATACTAAAATATAATTACGTAAAAAATGCTATGCTAATGCAGTCACCACCGCATTTGCATGGAAAAGCCAGTCACGTAAAATTTGTGCTGCTAAGCCAGTCACTATATATTTTACCGCATACCACTGGAATCCAGTCACTGAAAATCCACCCGGGTATCCCGTCACTTCAGTCACTTTCACCCCTGCCC